ATTGGGTCTTCCACTTCACTGGCAATGTCAGAAATTGTTGACCTGAGTCCCCTACAGCTCAACCTAACAGCATGGCTTTACTTCTTATATTTTGTTTTTATACTTTTCTGCTGGATGGTTAAGACCAAGGTAAAGCAGAACCTATGCAACAAGAGTTCTAGCTTTTGGGTCTGATAAGGTCAGTGAAATTCCCTCAGGATTTATCCTGAGATCCTGTACCTCAGATTGTAGAACTTTTGTCAGTGTCAGCCATGTAGATGAGTCACGGCTCTCTGGCCAATGTGCTCTCTGTGAAAGCCTGAGAGAATGTTTTCTCTCCATGTGACTCTCCTTAGGCACATTCTACATCATCACAAATGCATTTAAAAAAATAAGAAAAAGAAAATTAAAGCTACAACTGTGGAGTTTGAGACAACAGCAAGATGCATAAAACTGAGAGGAAAGGGGCTGGGGAGACAGCTCAGCAGCATAAGCACCTGCCTGGCAAGTGCAAGGTCATGAATTCAATCCCCAGGCAAAAAAAAAAAAAAAAAAGGTGAGAGGAGAAATAAAAAATGATCACAACTTCCCCAAGGCATGATTTGAACATGCTTTTGTGTGAGGGAAAATACTCCTCCACAAAGGAAGAAGATGGCCTGCACCCAAGGGAGCATGACAAGAATGAATATTCATAAAAACATCACTATTGGGGGTGGGGAGATAGCTTGGCAGTCTAAGTGCCTGCCTGGCAAGCGCAAGGACCAGGGTTCAATTCCTGATACCATGTGCCGTGCTGGCCCCACACTAAACTGACCACAGAAATTGGGCATGGAAGCACAGGCCTGTAATCCCAGCACTGGGGAGGTGGAGACAGAAGGTTCATTATAAGTCTTATCTGTGTAGTAAGACCCTGTACCAAATACATAAATAGGGGCCGGGGAGATGGCTCAGTGCAATAAGTGCTTCCCTGGCAAGCGCAAGGGTCTGAGTTCAATCCCCGATTCTGCCAAAAACAAAACAAACAAACAAAAAAATACATAAATAAATAGAAGATAAAAACAAGTCACTATTACAAAGGAAAAGCTAGAATATGTTTAGAATTAAAATCACAAGAAGGGTCAGCCAAATAGCTCAGTGGATGAAAGCCCCTGCAAGCAGGCACAGGGGCCAGGGGTTCCATCCCCCGAGGCGCACTGAGATGACAACTGAGACTGGGCAAGGTGGCACACGCCTGTAATCCCAGCTCTTAGAAAGCTGTAAACAGGTGGATCACTACAAGTTGGATCTAGCAGTGAGACCCTAAACACCTGTAGACCCTTCCCTATCTATCTATCTATCTATCTATCTATCTATCTATCTATAATAAAATCAAAAGAATCAATTTCAACTCAGAAAGCTTTACTTGGCAGAAATGTCTTATTTCCTGATGACAATAAGATAAAAATGATTGTTTTATGCATAGTCATATGCACTAGTAGATGGTTTCCAATGATAAATGCCACCAATTTCTTCTTTTCCTATCTATGTCACCAGGGGCTAGAGCTTATTTCCCTCCTTTTGAATCTAGGCTGCCTTTGTGACTTCCCCTGACCAGCACAAAGCAATGGAAGTAATAGTATCCTAGGGCTGGGACCAGGCTTTAAGAGGCAAAGCAATTTCAACTTTCATTTAGAATCCAGCTGCTCCTGCTCCAGCTTTCAGGAGGATGAGGCAGAAAGACAGCTGAAAAGTTCAAGGCCAGCCAGAACTGCATAGAGAAACCCTGTCTCAAAAAGCCAAAGCAAGCAAACTAGCAAAAGCCAGCCAGCCAACTGCCAGAGCATAGAGAAGCTTGGATGATATGATTTACTGAATAAACCAAGTGTAAAGAAGGAAACCACTTGGAGGAGCTCTAAGCATCAATCATACAAATGGAGGCATCTTGCTCCTTCTTGTGCAGCTCAACCTCGAGCAGAATGCAAAAAGTGACTCACCTAATACCACCTAAAACAGAACCACCACCCAAGGCACCTTAGGAATCCCTGACCCCCACGAACTGTGAGAAATAAGAAGTCATGGCTGCTTTAAGCTACTAAATTGTGTTGTTACATTATGCTATGCTATGTTCATTATGTTATTTTGAGTCAGGGTCTTGCTATGTAGTTCAGCCTGGCCTTGAACTCACTATATATCCCAGGCTGGCCTCTAACTTGCAGCAACCTTCCTGCTTCAGATTCTGAAGTGCTGCACCGCCATACCTGGACTAAACTATCAAGTTTTGAGGTTGTGTTGTTCTTAGACAAAAACAGATTAAAAAACAACAACAACAACATAATGAGAACAGTTATTTCTAATAATTTTCTACCAAATCCTAATATGCAATGAAAGCAGATATCAGAAACTACATAAATTATTTGTGCTTTACATAAAAAATACCAGAGCTCATGGTGGCATCCATCTGTAATCCCAGCACTCAAGAGGTTGAGGCAGGGGCTGGAGAGATGGCTCAGTGGTCTAAAGCACCTACTTGAAACAAGCTTGGCAAAGCACAGGGACCGCGGTTCGATCCCCAGCACCACATGCCAGCCAGACCCGCCCCCTGGTGGGCTGAGCTGGCCACACACACATCCAATAAATAATAAAAATGTAATAAATAAAAATAAATAAATATTAAAAAAAAAAAAAAAAAAAAGAGGTTGAGGCAGGAGGATTGCTGCAAGTTCAAGACCAACCTGGGCTGCAAAGTGAGTTTAAGGCCAGCCGAAATAACACAGTGAGATTCTTGTCTCAAAAAGACCAAAAAAAAAAAAAAAACAAAAAACAAAAGAGCCTTGAGGTAGATAGAGCTCTGTGATGAGATCATGCCTAACCCAGCGGAGGCCCTAGGTTTCATCCCCAGTGTTATTATGGTTCTTGTCTAGTTGTCCCCACAAAGCCTCATGCAGTCATGGGGCGGGGACTTTGAGAGTTTGAGATTAACTCATGATCCCCTGGGATCATGTACTGCTGGGAGTGCTACACCCAGCCTGGGGGCAGACAGCCTGAATGTAACAGGAGACTTCCTCTTTTTCTTGCCATTACTGCTGCTACTCCTCCATTTGCTCTTGCTTGCTTTGCCGCTGCCATGAATGGATGCTGTCTGCCATGTGCCGCTCTGCCTTGGAGCCAGCTGAGTATAGACTGAAAGCTCCAGTAACTGTGACCTAAATAAACCTTTCTTTCCTTCATTTTGGGTGTCAGGTATTCGTCCCAGCAATGAGAGAAGAGTAACTGAGACACCCAGCATCAAAAATAATAAAGGAAAGACAAAAAGTCAATGTATTTCCAGTGGTTTAAGTAAAGGTTGACGCCTCCTTGAAATTCAGCATGGCATAGGGAAAGGAAAACAGATTAGAGTTAGAAGGACCCCCAACCAGCTTGGACTCTGCCAATGGTATAGCAAACTAGGGTAGAGGGTCCATCTGCTGCATGCAGATAACAGCAGGACACACTGTAAGTGGAGACTTTTAACAGTAATAAAACCCCTAAAAGTTGACCTGCTTTTCCTTACCATTAGCTAGCCATTTTAAGTAATTTCGGCATAAAATCCTCTGGGACAGAACTCTTCTGCCCCACTCCCATCCTTGTGACATCACTGGAACTCAGAAAGTTTAACTCACTGAGCTTGAGCATCACACTCTATGAAAACATCAATCCAGGTTTGAGGGGGCTTTTAGCTCTAAAAGTCTAACTCAACAAGCAGACTACTGTGTGAACTTGTTCAAATTTTCCTTTGCATTCATCCTGTCAATGATCATTTGATGAGCATCTTTTAGCGTCAGGCCCAAGCTACGTGTTTTGTTTTTTAGAAAATGTATTTTAGTAGAGGGTCTACAGGGCCTCACTACACAGATTGGATTTGTAGTGATTCTGTTTTCAGCCTCCCAAGCACTGGGCTTACTGGGGCGTGCCACCAAGCCCAGCCTCAACTGCTGTGTCAGTGTGCCCTGGGAGCAGGGCTGGCATGGCAGGCTAGGGATCGAACCCAGGTCACTGTGCTCTGCCTAAGTAGGTGCTTTTAGTCCACTGAGCTATCTAGCAGGCTCTAACTATTTTATTTATTTGGTACAGGGTCTTGCTATATAGCTCGGACTTGTAGTGATCCTCCTGTCTCAGCCTCTCCAGTGCTGGGATGACAGGTGTGCCACCATACCTGGTTTCAGTGGCTAGCACAGTGTGCGGTACCGGGGATCGAACCTGGGTCCTTGTACTTTTCAGGCAGGTGCTTAGACCACCAACCTATCTCCCCAGCCCTGCTTTGTACTTAAAGTGCTCACAGAGAAGCTACTCTAGAACCTTACAAGCACCAATATACTCTCCCACGTCAGTGCCCAGGGTGTCCACTCACCTACTCTGAAGTGTCCTCTGTGATTAGGTCCCTCTGTGACTCCCATTAGAGTCACTCCCACTGAGCTGCTTATGAGCATAGCTTGTGGATTACTCATCATTATATCCCAGGGTCTAATACAGCCTTTGGTGCTATAAATGCTTTTTCCATGTGTGAATGAATAAGCAATTTATAATGGGGATGAATATCCATACAGAACACCTTATATGGTATGTTAGACAATGTAAAACTGCTAAAACTTGTTGTAACTATAAAACAAAAATTTCATTTCATTCTATCTACTGCATATGAATTTACTGAGAAAGACACTGGCTGTGTAATGAGTTTGGAAATGAGAAGTAGCACATACCTTCCTTGAATTCTTTCCTAGAGATCTTGTTTCCTAAAGTCAAGAAGAACTTGCTATGAGCTAGTGGCATTCATCTGCCAGCTCCTAAATATGGGTCAAGGAAGTGTCGATCATGGCTCTGAAGTGCTAGTTAGCTTGCCCCTGACTTCCACCTTCCATTTACCTGATAATGTCTCTCTGACTGGTCCTCAGTGCTTTCTTCAGAGATTTGGGTGAAAGGTTTCCAGATGTAACTACTTCCTCTTTTGGGCTTTTTGCCAAGATGTCCCCCTTGAAATTCTTTCACTGTTCTTGGGGATTTTAGGAAGCTTGGGCAACTGCCATTGGTACCTGGCTGGGAGCCGTCTGACACCTGCAGGACAGGATGAATGTAATCCAAAGTTGGAGGGCCCACTGGGCCAGGTAAGTCACAGCCATCTGGAAACGATTTTGAAGCAGTCCATGAAGATACGTGTTCCTTCTGTATCAACTCAACCTCATCTAATTTCTGCTCAATACTCCCCACCAAATCTGTAATCTCATGAGCCATCGTCTGTGAAATCTTTAGATTCAGCACACATTTACTGACATACTCCTCAGTCTTGGACCAGCTGCTCACCTTGCCCTTGGCTTCTCTAGTTGCCTCAGGCAGGCTGAGTAAACTAAGTGAACTATTTTGCCAGTCCCAGTCTCCAAAGAAGAGCTCTGCATCAACATCTAAAGAGCTCCCATCCTCATCACAAAGGTGTGCCTCTTCCTCCATCTTATCCAACTCTTCTTCCAGGGACTGCAGTTCATCTTCCTGGTCTGGTTTATCACCCTCAAGAGCTGAAGTAGCACCTGGGCTTTCTTCCTGTGTGTCATCTCCTATGTCCAAGCAGCCTGTGTAGATTTCATTGATTTCGAAGCTGTGGAGGCTGCCCTGACTTGCATTGGGGCTCCTGGTTTCTGCCACAACTGAAGTAGTAGGAGGAGGTGGAGCATTGGGATTCTGAGGCAGCTGAGCCATCAGAACTGGATCGTGGGTCTGAGAAGCTAATGCTGCTTTTGCAGGGGGAGAAGAATGACCTTTTGGTGAATGGAGCTGACTGCCTGTTGAAAGGAATAGCGACACACAACTGATTAAAGTGATTACTATTAAAAAAAAAAGTGATTACTATATTCAGCAGTTAAACAGCCCTGGCCACTTGACCAAGAGACACAAGAATGCACACAAAGCTTTTATTTTCCAACTCCCTCAGCATTATGGAAGACCACTGCATACACATCACAGGATATTTTTAACCAAAGTGAAAATGAATGAAGAGAGATTTTGTGGGTAGAAAAAGTCAAATTTTAAGAAAAATGTAATAAGCTTCACCTCTACTGCATTCAAAACATTAACTGCTGAGACATGGAAATTATAGGCCCCTGAATCTCAAGGACTATATCATAGCTTTCTTTACACACAAACACACGTGACAATTTATGTCAGTGAGTTACACTCTTAGTGAGCATCTGATAAAAGTAGCAGAGGAATGACCCAGTAAATCACTGCATCATGAAGGGCTAAAAACCAAAGCACAATGCCAGTGCTGACCACACTATTCTTAAGGATTTTTTTTTTGCTCCAAATGCCTTCAGGGAAGGTTTGGCTGGCTTGAGTTGTGGGGATTGAACCAAAGCAACCTGAGCCTGACTGCTTTGTTGAAGCAGCCACTTAAAGAACTGAGCTAAGGGGCGGGCCCCCTAAAATGGCAGAAGATTTTTTTTTGGTGGCCTGAAGATTCCTTGAGGGCATTTCTGGTTTCCTGTGAGAAATGGGGTTCGAACCAGAGCATCTTGAGCCTGACTGCTTTGTTCAGCAAGCACTTAAACAACTGAGCTAATGGGCAGGCCCCCAACCACACTATTCTTGATTGACAGGCATCCAGCTTAGAGCAAAAGAAATAAAAGATACAAATAACTATATCTATAGCCTCCCACCCATCAAGAGGAAAGTCTCGGTTAATAGTCACTCAGCTGGAAATAGAAGCCCTGGGTTCCAGATCTGTAACAAGTTCTGTAACCCTGAGCAGGCTATAACCCTATACCTTAGTTTTTTCATCTGTAATGGCAGGGCATTATACCCAATGATTGTAAGGTCTCTTTCAGTTTCCAATTCTAAGGCTTCCAAATGCACTAAAAAGCAATAAGGGACAGAAAATGTTAATAGAAAGACCAAACCATTAGTAAATGGCAGAACTGAAACAGTAAAGAGGCAAAAGGATCGCTACAAGTTGAGATGGGCCTAGGCTAAAAGTGAGCTCAAAGCCAGTGTGAACTTCATACCAAGGTCCTGGAAAAAAAAAAAAAATTAAAATTTAAGAAATTTTCAGGCCGGGGAGATAGCTCAGTAGAATAAGTGCTTGCCTGGCAAGTATAAGGGCCTGAGTTCAATCCCTGGTTCAACAAAAAAAA